TATCGCGATATCCGATAATATCGTCTACCTAAGCCCCACCTCTACCACGCCCCGCCCCCGCCATGTTCAAACACACACCATGTTCAGTTTGGTCTTAATTATTGCCACAAAGTTTGGTTTTACTTTTCTTAGTTTGTGCTTAAACTAACAGAAAACATTTGCTTTGCTGTTATTTTGGTGTTGCTAATAATTTCCACTCTGTTCTTATCAAATTTGTGTTTGAAATTAATTTTATTTTGTGAGAACTGTTGAGGAAAAATAATAGAACCCAATTTTAAGTTCATCATGGTGAAGTTGGACATTCTAGCGGTGATTGTAAGAATGATAAATGCATGTTAATGTCATATAATAATGTCTTGAATAAAATATGCAGATTTTCCGATGTTTGTCTTTCTTTTTGGCATTATCGCCTGTGTAGACACATTTCATGATGGTAAGTTTAATTTCCTTAATTATAACAATTGCAGTGTTGTTTTTAAACTTGTAGTCAAGCTATAACGTATTTGATAGTTATCATGCATGACTAAAATCATGCAGGGATTAAAAATGAATTCAGAGCAAAAACGTTAAGGTTTTTTTTTCTTCCTTTCTGGTAGCCTACTAGTTCGGAGGTCTCTTTCGGCCCGTTTTTAACGAAATAAAAATGACTGCTTTATTTAATTAGAAGCAGGGTAATTTAAATTTCCTTTTTATATTGTAATTTTTATCATTTTTATTTTATTAATCAAAATACAACGCCCACAATATAATATTCAGTATTGGGCTGCCGAAACTCCAAACGCATGCATGTTGAGGGGCGAGCTGAGAAGTCTAATGTCTTCATCTGTTTGCAACAAAACTTTATAGTTTTGTTTCAAATGAATTAAGAATTTATAGTGCTATATCTCAGCTTAATTAAACAAAATTATATTGTATACACGGTTTACAAAATCTGTAAAAAATATTGCACTGAAATGTGCGCTGAAGGAATTTGCGCATTTTAATTATACCTGTCATGTTTGTGGTTTTTCATCATTATACATTGTTTAAATAAATATTCAGAAACACATGCAGTGCTACTTTTTGTCTTTTTCTGTTTAACGTTTATTAAACTGCAGCTCAAAATAGAATAGGCCTATACCCTAAATCAGGATAAATTATATTGGAACGCATCTCCAAAATAATCACATACACAGATGCACGTTGCCATTACATTAGTCAGCGCCGAACAACAGGCAAATAAAATATAAACTGAGGTTACAAAAGTGATTCAGTCAAGATCAGTGATTTTCTTTTCTTTTGTTCTTTGATTAACATTATAATGACTGGCGGCAGCGGCTGCTGTCAATGCACGCATCCAATACACCCTTGTTTCCTTTCTCAACTCTTTACGTTCACTTAAGACATAACTGATTGTATTTATGGGATATTTTGATATAATTCTGTGTGTATTTGTCCATTTGAATGTGTAAGAACACGAGAAAGAGAGCTCAGTCCAGTGTTTGCATATATAAGAGGCGGCTTTTGTGCGTGCGCTTTGTGTGTGTGTGCAGCACAGAAAACAGTGTGCGAGTGCAGAAGTGAGTTCTATTTCGTCTTCTTGCAGTTGAATCTTTTGAAATCACAATAAA